CCCAGCAGGCCTCCAGGGGGCCTCCCGGCCGCGGCCTCCCAGTCGGCCGCTCCGGCCCGGGGGCCGCCGCGCGGGGAGGGACGCGCCTCGGCGCCCGGGCCAGTGCGCGAACAATGACCCCTTTTCCCCTCGCTGCCGCCTCTTCCCGACACCGCCCCCCTCACACCCCCAGGCAAACCTATTAGCCATTCAGGCCGACAAAACCCCGCGGCCCCGCGCATTGTCCCGCGGAGCGCCCGGCCCCCGTCATTAGCCCTGATTACGCTGAGCCGCCTGACAGCCCCGCGGGCCGCTCGGCAGACCCCCCATTCACCGCCGCCCCCGGGCCCCGCCTCACAATAGGAGCGGAAATCGTCCGCGCTCCCGCGTCCCGGCTGAATAGAGCGAAAAGCTGCTTCTCTTCTCCTCCCGCCCCATTCACGTTCTCTTTGGATACAATATTTTTTTCCTTTTTGTTAAAATTAGGGAGAGAGAACGAGGTCAAGGAAGATTTTGATTGAGCTCTCTGCCTGTCATTTGTTTAATGTAAACAAAGAGCAAGTCCTCCCCCCGCCCCAGCCTCTCATCCCCTCCCTCCCAGATTTTTATAAACAAACTGGAGAAGGGAAAGGGCGGGGGGGGCGGGCGCGGCGGGTGGAAGCGGAGTGGGTCATTAAAGTGGAGGAGCGAGGAATTGCGGCATTTGGGGAGCGGGAGCCATCGCGCTTTTGGTGGAGCTGGCGGGTGGTTGAAATATTTATAACCAGTAAAGAAGCCTGAGCTGGGGCTGGTGGTGAAATCCGCACATTGGTAAGATCCGTTGAATTGTTAAAAGGCAGCTTCTTTCCACTCTGCTGGAGTAACTGCTTTTTGGGAAATTGTTACAAGGAGATAAATTTCAAGAGAAGACAGAAAGGAAACCCATCATATGGAGATTTCTCCACATTCAGAAACCTTCAGCATTGCTACTACCTGGAATTAAAAACAAACAAAAAACCTTTCTAGACCAGGATAAAACTGATACAGAAAAAAAATCTTAAAAAGAAAACGAAAACTTTTACGATACTTGCCCAAAGGAAGATTTGGACCAATTAACATAAATATCTGTGTGAAGATTTGGACCAATTTCCAACATGTGATCATCAAAGAATTGATTATTCACAAGAGCAATTAGGTGCCACCAGGTTTCAGATAAACATTTTAAAAATTCTTTAAAATAATATGTCACCCCTCCCTTAAGATTCTAAAGTGAAATCAGATAAAAAAAAAAAAAACCTACAGATTGGTGAAACAGAATACCTACTTTATAATGTAATCCTTAGGCAACATGTTACTTTAAGCAAATTAGATGTACTTTTAAAGAAAATGTACTTAAAAGGCTTTCACCAAAGCAGGAAGAAAAGTCCTCCGTAACTGTTCCGTCTTCTCTTTTTTTGCCAAGCCGTAAGGGTTATTTAAAAATTATTTGTAAAGAGAAAGCTTAGTTCTTAGCAGTATAACCCTTTTTTCTTGAGAATGCAGAATGGACATTTTCCTCTGCTTTTAGGCATCATTTGAACTGGTGAGTGGGATGGGATTTTTAGAATCTCAACTGCCATTACATCATTCTACTAATTAGTTCTTTCCCTTCCTTCTTGGACCTGGAAACATTAGCTTAAGAGGTAAAATTTGCTGTCTTCTCCAAATGCTAGTTTGGATAGCTCCTTAGTACCAGGTGGGTCTGGTGAACAAGACTGGAAATCTCTTCATTTTTCCTTGAAGTGCAATACTTCTTAGCAGATTCCGGACTAGGGTAAGGCAAGGGAAACACCTACAGTGCAAAATTTAAGGAGGCACTCATTCCCAGATACCTTGCACTTGTGTACTTGCTGACCTTGAGAGTGAATGCCTCCTTAATTTTGTACTCTGGGTGCCTCCCTTGCCTCATAGGAGTCCTGGCCCAGCTCCTTGGCATTCAAGGAACTAGATGTGGGGGAGGGGGAGGTGTTCTAGGAAACAAAATAAGAGTTTTCAGGAAGCTCTACCATCCTAGCCTTTCAGGACCCACGGAAGGGCATTTGCTTGCTTTCCTGAAGAACACCAGCTTGATCACAAAGACATCCCCACTCCTTCCATAGAGCTCTTGTGTAAGAGAGTTTTGATTGTCAACAGTTCTCTGGATAGGGGCCCCTCTATACAGTGACAATTTATAAAACCCAAATGAGGCCAAATCTGTTTAAGTGATTTAGAAATCAAAAATAACCCTTATTCATATCTTGGGCTTCTCTCATCTATCTTGCCATTTGACGGCTTTTTGTCTTCCATGACTTCACTTTTTTTTTTTTTCACATTGGCATTTCTATGAAAATAAATTAACAGGCTTCTGAACCAAAGGACATCTACTAAGGACAGAGAGGTAAATTGAAAAGAGTCCAGTGTGTGTGTGTGTGTGTGTGTGTGTGTGTGTGTGTGTGGCAGGAGGAGCTCAAGGAGGGAAGTTCAGCTTAAGTGATTTAAAGATCAATGTCCAATTTTATAATATATAACCCATTTCACTAGGAAAAAAGCTTAGAGACTCTGGATAACATTTACTTTTTTAGTACAGGACAGTGGGTTTTTTTGCTTGGTTGTTTGTTTGTTTGGTGTGTATGTGCCTGCATGTACCTACACACTTTGTGAGGACAAATTAAATCCTAAGAATATTTGATAGTTTTAATTGAGGCCATTACAGGACAGTGAAGCTCTAGGTGACTTATTTCATGTGTTAATACAGAGATCAGACTTTAAAAATGCTAGTCATTTCTCTGCATCCTTCTACTTCACTTCAGTATGTCACATGATTACATCCTTTCCTTCATCTAAGTATCCCTTTTGTGGAAAAATGTGTTGATTAAAACCTGCTTCTGCATCAAGATGTTAGTTTAGTTATTAAAACCTCTCCTATCTTTTGTTTTATTTTAATATGAGTTCAATCCTAAACATAGTATATACTCACTCTAGCATGATCATGGGTGCCTATTGCTTTTGTTTGGGAGGGGTCTTGAAAGGAGATGGAAAACTTTTGTAATTGCAGAGCCCGTGTCAGAATAGACTTGCATTTTTATAAAATAGGACTCATGACTTAGTCCCAGAGTTTGGCTTCTTAAATTGTTCCTGAAAGCCATCGACACTTCATAAAAGTGAGTGTCAGGTGGACAAGCCATAGTAACCTGTGCTTGGGGATGTGTGGAGTTGCCTCATAGAGGATGCTTATGTTGCCAGTTTCTAGGTTTAAATATATCATACACACACGTATATACATACATACAATTTTTTGAGCAGGTGGTTATGGATCTACCATGGACCATTTAAAAAATATACCAGGAGACATCAGAGAAAGCAAAAGATAAGAGAAGACTCTCCTGAGACTATTTGCACAAGGGCTCCTGCTTACCTGGTGAAGAGTATCTTTTTTTTTTTTTTTTTTTTTTAAGGAATGAGAGCAGCTCACTTAATTAAGAAAGGTTGCTCACCAGGTTTTTATTGTTGGCTTCTTCACACCGAACCCATCTGCTCCATCCTGCGCCTTTAGAAACAGCAAGTTCCCAAGAGATAGAGAAACCTACCAGGGCAGTCTCTTAAATAAGTAAATAAACAGCATATATATGTTTTGTTTTGTTTGTTTGTTTTTTTAAAAAAAACCTTTAAAGCAAAATTTATACTTATATAACAGCGTCCTTTCGACGTGAAATACCCACGGGAGATTTAGGGCAGGCGCTCAGCATGCAGTTCGGGTTCCGGAGGCATCTTTGCAGCAAAATTCTTGGAAAAAAGCAAAGCAAGGAGAACGTAGCGCTGGGTTGGGCCTCACCGCGGACCCCTGTGATAGCGGCCCTAGGGCGCCAGTGGAGCCAGGCCGGCCGCGGGGCGGAAATGGGCAACCCGAGCCCGCGGGTCCCTGGCCACCTGGTTTCGCAAGCAGTGGGTTTGCTTGGTTTCTCATCCTATTTCATTTTATCTTGTTTTTACACTGGATTCTGTTTCTGAGCGTGCTGGATGAGCAGTTCAGATGTCGCACTCGCTGTCGCTGGACGTGATGGAGATGGCCGAAGTGGCTGCCTTGCTGGATAGGCTGGCGGCCGGGCTGGCGGCGGCGCCCAGCACCTCGGGCGTGCTCTCTTCCTCAGCCCTTAGAGCCCGTCCGGAGCCCTGCGACATGACCTGCTGCTGGAGTCTACGGGAAGGAAAGGGATAATAGTCACAGAGCATAACTTAGCCGCCCATTGCGCCCCCCCCCCCACCCGTCTGCATCCGTTAAGCTCAGCGGCCAGCGGATCTTCCACAGACCCGGGCAGTTAAAGTGGGAAAAGTGAGGCCACAGAGGCCAGGGCCGGAGTCCGCGGCCGCCTCTCCAAGTAGCCCTGCAGTTGTCTCATCCTTCTTCTGAATCCTTTCTCGGCTCCCCATCCGAGACGCTAGGCTCACAGGGTCATTCGCGATTGTTGGCCGCCTTTGGGAGATTTACAATACTGTCAAGATAAATGAGGTGTGGGTGACAAGGACGTATCAAGCTCCTGGATAGGGAACCCCATTCCTAGTGTGCATCTTTTCTGGACGCACGCTCGTGTTAGTGCCCTCAAGGCCGGGTCAGAGCAAAGCTAAAAGCAAAAAGGGCTGCCTGAGGATTACACGGAACGTTTGGGCCTGGGGGATGAGGCGGGGTTTCTTGGCCAAAATGTTTGGCTAATTTAGATCCACACGCTGAGGACCGAAAAGCCTCAGCTGACTAGTTTGCTGATTTGAGGCAGGGTTGTCCACGCGTGAAAAGAGGAGAACTCGACTTCCATCCAGAAGTCCATTGAAAACTCTTTTCAAAGCATTAGAGAAGAATTTACCTGGGCTTTAAAAAAGGCAACACTAATGCCACATTGCTAATAAGCGAGGCTTCAGTTAATAATAGGAGCCTGGGCCCAGGCTGACAAGAATTAGCTTTGGGCCTTGGGGTCCCTAATTATTGCTGGGATTTTAATTTTTATTTCTTTCCCCTTTCCAATGCAGCCTTGGTTTGGCGACTGGAACTAGCTGGTGGAGCGACCCCCAGGCGCTGAGAACGAGAGAAAGAGTATGGGGAACCTAGAGCCCGGAAGGAAACTGCCCCCTCCCCTCCCCTCCCAGGATCCCAGAACACGGTGGGCTCATAACTGAAGACAGACTGAGCTCTCAGGTCCTGCGGATCCAAGTCGCCGGGCCCTGGGTAAGGGCGCCCGGGGTGCCTTCGCCTGCCCTACCCGGGAGAGCGCAAGGCGCGTAGGCCTCTAGGTACTGACCTGTTCTTGGCAGCAGCCGCCCGGTCCCTTTGTCGGCGGTTTTTGAACCAGTTGCCCACCTGCGTAGGGGTCAGTCCGGTTGCCTGGGCGAGCTCACGCTTTTTGCTGGGGTTGGGGTATGGGTCCTGCAGGTACCATTCCCGTAGCAGATGCCGCGTGCGCTCCTTGAAACAGTGTGTCTTCTGTTCGCCGTCCCAAATGGTGCGCGGCAGCGGGAACTTCTTCCTCACACGGTACTTGTCCACCGGCCCCAGGGGCCGTCCACGCAGCTTCTCAGCCTCCTGGTAATGCGCTTCGAGCCACAGCGCCTGCAGCTTGGCGTGCGACTCCTTAGTGAACTTGTGGTTTTCCAGGATATGGTAGAGCTCGCGGTAGTTGCCACCGTGAAAGGCCACGATGGCTCTCGCGCGCAGCACCGATTCATTCTTGTTGAGGGCCTCGCAGGCCGCAGGGGCCACGGGCAGCGACCAGAGGAAGCGACCCAGGCGCTCTACGTCGCCGCTCTCCTCCAGAGTCTCGCATACCCCGGCCACTTGCTGGGGACTGAAATTCAAGATGGGCAGCTGGAACATCGAGGCAGCGCCAACTGCAATGGGGGCGCTGAGCACGGAGCCGGACACACAGCAGATGCCCGCGGGCCTGGCCGGGTGCGCCAGGCTCTCCTCCGTGAAGCGGCTTAGAGCAGCCGGGACGCACAGCCCGGGCAGCTGCGGCGGCGCAACGGCTGGGAACAAGAGAGCGGGAGGGATTGGAGGAGGTGCGGGCCCCGCCGCCCAGGTTCGGCTCGGCTTCGTTAGGGCACGCAGGCCGGCGAACTGGCGCCGCTACTGGAATGGGCGGATTGGCGGCGCGGGCGCCATGGAGACCCCCTGTCAGTCACCCGCCCGCTCTGCCAATCAAGACTGCGACCAGTGCGCCCGGGTCCTTTCAGCACCTCCCCGCTCTCGACAGCGCCCGCCGTTCACCCGGGGACTTTTCCTCAGTATTTTGCAGAATGTGGAGGAGGAAAAGACTGGAGAGTGCCTAGGAGAAAAAGGCAAGAACAGCAGCGTTTCAACACCCTCCTCCAGCCTTGTTCCTCCACCCCCAGCCCCCCAATCCCCCCCCCCAACTCCCCGCCAAAAGAGGCAGTAGTGCTACAGGAATCCACTTTGGAGTGATGCGCTGCCTGGGTCAAGAGGTCTCCAGAGGACAATGAGGACTGGGCCAAATCGAAATCCTCGGAGAATTCGCCAGATTTAATTGTAACGAAACAGAAAACTTTGGGGGGAGTGCAGGAATGGGGAGGGAGGGAAGTAGATCACCTCATTTTTTCCTCAGCACCCATCCCTGCACGCCTTTCCCCCTTTTCCAGCTGCCAAAAGCAGCCGAGTGGGAAGCGAATCTGAAGCAGAGGGAACAGGACCAGGGATCTGTTAAGAGGTCAGTTTGGGCTATCCCCAACACCTTCAAACGCCTCCTGAAATCATTTTAAATACGGTCTGGAACAAATCTCACACCTGATAACACAGGTGTTGACCATGAAGTTAAACACTCAGGAAAAGGGGCATTGTACTCCCCAAAAGTTTATACTTTTCAGTCTCCCCCCTCACCCCCCAGTTTAATGGACTTGAACAAATGTGCAGCATAGCCACATCTAGAGTGAGAAGTCACTGGTAGGTCAGGACAGCAACTTAAAAGCTTATTTCAAAGATCTTTTAAAAATATTGATTTGCTCTTCTTGCAGGCTGCTTTTGCCCTACTCTGTGTTAGAACATGTAACTTGCACCGGGGATAGAAACTCTAACCTTGGCTTTTTGTCCCAAAGAAACTCTGTACAAGTAAAATAGAGAAGGGGGAACCACAGCAATGGGAAGAGAGACAGAAAGCGCTTTCTAAGCCGCTGAGCACTGACCCCTCCTGCAGAGAGGAAGGGCCTTCTTGGCAGCTCTGCCTTAGGGCCAGCAGATTGAATTGGCAACTTTTATTGATTCCCAATTGACATCCACATCATACCATTTTCTGTGGTCTCTATCAAAAGAAACCATGATCTCACCTGGGCCTTATCAAAGGGGCTTGTTTAGTTTGCAGAAAATAATTGGGAAAGGGGCCTCCAACAAAAATGACTGGAAAAGGATTTTTGGAGGTCCATCCCTAAACGAATCAGATAAGAATGTTCTCCACCAAACTGGACTGGGCCGGCCGTCTTTTCTTTAGTATCAAGTACAATTTGTATGCGGCTTGTACAGCTCTGGTAAATCAGAAGGCAGATAGATAGCACAGATGGTTGGAGGTGTCGGGTCAGATTATGCTACGCCTGAGTGCAGGGCAAAGCTCATTCTGACGGAAAACCCTGATATTATTTTCACAGATCCTCACAGTTCACTAAAATAAATAAATAAATAAATAAATAAATAAATAAATAAATAAATAAATAAATAAATAAATAAATAAATAAATAAATAAATAAAAATAAAAAAGCTGAGGTTGGCGGGGGAGCCCTGCAACCATTTACATCATTTCTGTGAGATTGCCAGCCGCCTTCACGGAGAGACTTTCTTTTTTAAGAGCTCTTTTTTTTCCTTTCTTTTTTTTTTTTTTTTTTGAAATGTGACAAGGCAGGGGCAAAATAGAGAGGGCGGTGAGGATAATGTCAAAGCACAAATCTTCTCTAGCTTGGGGAGATTTCCGAATTCGCTGGAGGAACAACTTTTAGTGAGAAACAGCGCATGCAAGTGCCCCCAAAACGCAGTGTAGAAAACCCAGCGGGCCATGGGGATCGGGCAGGGGTGAAGCGGAACCTGGGAAGGCTGTGTTCCAGGCACCTCTGGCCAGGGAAGGAAAGCATCCCCTTGCTCAGTATGTCTTCCCTGCCGGCTCCCCCTAGCAGAACGGCCTCATGCTCTCCTGCGCGGAAGAAGCCCCAAGTCTGGGAGACCCTACAGCCCCAGAGCCCAGAGAGGACCCCAACACCCGCACCTAGCCGCCTGAGGTGAGAAGTTGCGGGTACCTCACGGGACTGCGCCTCTCCGCCCTTTTGCTAAACTGTTTGAAAGCTGCGAATTCGGGAAAGCTGGCTTCTTACCCTTAGTTTTTGTGAGCAAAGTCGTGTTAATTTTCCAAGTCTACGTGCCCTATCCAGGAAATGGGAATATCCCATTTCTTGGATAATAGTTCTGCAAATATTAGAGGAGAGGGCACGTTGGCTTCTGCGTGTTTGGAGCGCTCAGGCAACTGGAACCAAAATCCTGGCTTGGCAGCGCCTGGAGCCGAGGAAAAAGAGCGCTGGTTAGGGGCGGCAGAGTCCCAGTTCCGCCAGACGGTGTGTCCGGACACGATGCGTGTGGAGGTTTGAGAAGTGTCTAGAGGTCTTGGTCTACTATCAGGAGATCCTATCCTCTCTATCACAGGGGACTTGGTTTAATTTTATTAACTCAAAGGAAATAAACTACCCTTGGGAAATTTAGGATCACATATTCATTCATCACCTTCACAAACAGAAGAAATGCATGCCCGCCCTCACCGCGCCCCCCCCCCCCCATCCCTGGAAATGAGAGAAGCTCCACTGGGTTCCTTAGAAATAAGGGCAAGGCGGTGACCCCCACCCCACCCTTAAAGCACCAGGTGAAAGCTGGACTTTCAGGTTGACTTCTTAAATTTTTACGGAAGGATAGATTTTTACTAGTTTTGAAACTTTGCACCAACCCTCTGGACAACCACCTACTTGCCACCCCCAACTTTATTTTTCTTTTGCGTTTGACCAGGAAACCTAGAAAGCTTAGCAGCAGCCCTTGGCCTGATTTGCAGCTTTCTGTGATTGGTGTGTAGCTAATAGATTTGAGAGGCCTTGGGCAGGCAAATGCTTGATTCTCTTTGGGAATCCAAAGACATCTATTCTGTTCTCTGCAGACTCAGTTTTACTTTACTGGGAAAAATATGGCGAAAAAAGCTGTAGAAGACAATGCCCCTGGGCAGATTCTGTGTTTAATTATTCAGTGAGGCAACAGCAGAGCAAAGTGCCCCTCCTCCCCCCAGAAAGTTGTGAGGTTCATACCAGAAATCTTCAGAGTGGGACTTCTTGAGCTTATTGGTGTCGCCCCCTCATTTTGCCCTCTCTGATTTTCCTCTAGAGTAGAGGACATGTGGAGCCCCGGTTACACATTGCTGAATGATTTGCCCATGGAGAGTGCTGCTTAAAGGTCAATACAGTCTTGCCTCGAGATTCCAATCTCTTGTTTTGTTTTGTCTCTTGTCTTTGACTTTTCCTAAATCAAACACCTGTAAAATAAATGATATATTTTTGTTTTCTTTCCTACATAATTTCACAGTCAGGGATTTTAAGAATGTAGTAATTGAGTGCATCTGAATTCCTTGATAAAGACATATGTGCTGCATGTGAGAGTCATAGACTGGTAGACAATGAGGTCCTAGCCTAGCCTGTGTAAGTCCATTTTGACATTTGGGGGAGAGATCTTGGTTTCCCTTTCCTGGGCCTCAAAGCGATGTGTTGCTGGTGAGTGAGAATAACATAAAAAAAGGTCTAGAAATCTTTAAAAAAGCATTTTACTGTCTTTGAATTTACAGTATTAAAATTTTACACTCTCAAACATTTATTCTTAAGTTTAGTATTCTGACTTTCAGATGATACCATATACATAAATATAGATATATGTTTGTTTATGTATTTGGTAGTCCAAATCTTTAGATTATGGAATTAATTCAATATCCTAGTTTTAAAGTGCTGACTGTCCTAATTAGCTCCCAAGGTAGATTGTTCTATTTCATGCATTCTTCCCCTGCCATTATGCACCTTGTAACAAAGAACAGAGATGCCTCTTTATTGTGTATTCCTGAGAACAAACACCATTTGAGAAATACTTTGTAGATTTCTTGGCACTGTAAAATTAACTGGGAAAAAGTATTACAATTAAAATATTGATCTAATTTTAAGAGATTAGAATATTTTTGTTGTTATTTACAAAATTATTTACCAGTTATTTTTTAAATGATGCAAAATTGCTTATGTTGTTAAGTGGAGGAAATTTGTATAAGCTTAAATGTGGGAAAAGGTACCATTTGAAAGTAATGATTAATTAGCAGTAATGTTTTGTTTTGTATTTTTAAATGTTAGGCTGACTATACAACTCTGTTTTGACCTCTAGTTTGTGGTTAATCCTAGGCATTTGAATGAGAATTTGTTTTTAAACCAAAGAGTATATTACAAGTCATACTCCTTTTTTAAATTATGGTCTTAAATTCACTTTTCTCTCTTCTGCTTCTGTGGCATAAGTCTAAATCTACATGGGACTAACTATACCACAGCATAGCTTGCTTAGGGCTATGTATCAGTGGGTTCTTGTATGAAGGATTAATGCTTAAAAATGTAACCAGCATATCACTTATAAACACGTTATTATCAGTAATAAAACATTAGTTGAATGACTGAAAGAATGATTAATTTGTAGTTCTCTATTGGAACTTTATTTTTTTTCCACTAGCAGATTATTTTTGGCCATTTTCAAATCCAAGATGAAAGTATCTTTCTAGGGTGCCTTGGTGGCTCAGTCGTTAAGCGTCTGCCTTCGGCTCAGGTCATGATCCCAGGGTCCTGATGGAGCCCCG